TCACCGCCCCGTCGGCTGGGACCCGCACGGCCTCCCCCCCAACCTCACCTTCCCCCTCAGCAAGCTCAGCGGCCTCAAGAAGTTCAAACTCTCCACCATCAACCTCGTCGGCTCCGACGGCCTCGACTCGTTCGGCCGCCACATCATCCCCCTCCAACCTGGCCGGGTCTACACCAAATCCGACCTCCAGTCGGCCCTTGAACAACTCGCCTCGTTCCCTTACTTCTCGAAAATCGAGCTCGAGGCCAAAACCAACCCCGACGGCACGCTCGACATCAACATCCCCTACACGGAGATGGTGTACACGTACGCGTTCCTCCCACACGCGAGATGCGTGAGCGTGGGCATGCTCCCGAACGAGCCCCCGGCTGAGGTGGACCCGGACATGACAGAAAAGGAGAAAGAGGAGCTCGATATGAAGGAAGGGATGAAGTATCAGAGGAGGGTCGCGCATGCTCCCGACTGCATTATCCCGGGAAGCGTGGAGGAAGAGATCAACTCGGAGCTGCAGGATGATCGGAGGCTGAAGTCGAGCGTGGTGTCGAGGATAATCGGGAGAATTGAGAATTGGTATAGGGAAAACGGGTATGCTGTGGCTCAGGTTGTGAGGTTTAGCCAGCCGGGATGGGTCCGGGGAAACGAGATAGTATTCGAGGTTGACGAGGGGCATATTGGGAACTTGGACATCAAGTTTGAGGACAGTCTTGGGAATGCTTGTGAAGGGAAGACCAATGTTAAGCTCATCGAGAGAGCCCTGGCTGAGGAGGAGGTTAGGTGGTTTAATTAAGTGTGTAGCTTGTTTCTTGCTGGCAATTTCTACTTATCCGATTATTTGATTATCCTTTACGTGACGACAGGTTGCTATCGGCCAACCGTACAACATGAAGGCGCTCCAAAGGGTGGTGCAAAATCTGGACTCTCTCAATATTTTCTCTCGGATAGGAATTACTCCGGAACGTGACGAGACAAATGGAGGAGCAGTATCTCTGCAAATCGTAGTGCAAGAGCCTCACGACTATCAGTGGTCCGACGTGCAAACAAAGTGGAATGTAGTTCGCAGACCTCTCAGTCTACCAACAATAGTGAGAATCCCGTTTCAGTTTTCTCATTCGTACGTTCAGTGGATTTTGTTGACATTGTAACATTGATTGATATGATTGTTGTCCACTTCAGGACTGGTCGAGGCCCGGTGCAACAATATCGTTCGGCAAGCGTAATATCAAAGGCTTGAACCGGTCATTTGAAGGGAACTTGACATTCAACAATTTCTTAAATCCTCAGGTTAATTATATTCTTGTCCCCAATACAAAATTTCAACTGTCCTAACTCTCTGTTTATACTGTTATTTCATTTGGACATTGTATGCATATTGTTCATGATTTTGTACATGTGAAATACTAACTGGTGTATCTGATGCTGTCTATTATATTTGACAGGATGACGTTGATTTCAAATTCGAGTACACACATCCATACCTTGACGGCATAGATAATCCTAGGAACCGCAAATTTCAGGCAGTTTGCTTCAACTCTAGAAAACTAAGCCCCGTGTTTCGAGGCGGTCCGCACTCGATTGACATCCCCATATGGGTCGATAGACAGGGAATTAAGGCCACAATAACAGAGGTAAATTTTAAGCAAACTCCATGATTATGATTGATGATACTGTAATCTTCGTATAAATATCTCCCATTTGTTTTCCATTCTCCTTATCATTTCCTTTGGGCTCTGTCTTTATTACCAAAACATACAAAAAGGATTTCACAAGACAGAGCAACCTCACATATGGACTAGTTATGGAAGATATAAAAACCCGGGACGAAGATGGGCATGTAGTCGGCAGAGGCTATAGGGTGGTTGATGGGCAGTTGAGACATAATGGACCTTTAACGACGCTTAGTGGCACTGGCAATGACCGAATGGCATTCTTACAAGCGAATCTTACGAGAGACAACACAAGATTGGTCAATGGGGCACTCGTTGGCGCTAGGGACGTGTTCCAGGTTATCTCATCAACCCTTTTTCTTCT